AAAACAAGAGAAGCCTCAGAATGTGAAGTGGAATTCATTTGGGCTTATAAGTACTTATAAGTATGTGGACAAAAGTCATATAGGATGGACAGGCATGTGAGATCAGAGATCCATCTAATTGGCTTCTATGATGTTTTGGGAAGCATTGGGATACAGTGGAAAGAGCCAGTGGGCTCTAGATTGAGAGGAACTCAATCTCCAGCTCTGATTTTTATAATATTTGTGACATTGGGTAAGCTTCCCCACCCTCAGTTTTCTCATGTGTAAAATGAGAGTTGAAATAAATGGTTTCTGAGATCCCTTATAGCTCTAGATCTATGATTCTATGGTCCTATGACAGTTTCTGAAGAATTGAAGTTGAAGGTCACCCATGGGACAATGGAGTGGTTTATGGTTGTTGGGAGAAGATGACAACATATTACCAACCAACTTAGATAAGAGAAAGATATATACAAGATGTCAGTAGATTGGTATGTGACCAGAAAAGTTGGACTGGCCATATCTGATAGAAAATCTGTTGTGCTTCTCTGGTATCCATACAATAGCAAGAGAATTAGAGGATGACCCTAGCAAATTGGATCAACTCTATATAGTGGATTTATGTGTATAGATTATAATTTAATCATTGGAGGAAGGACAACAGCAATGATGTGACAGGTCAAAGTATCAAAATATTTCTGTATTTTGATAAGCATGGTTTATTAAGTATTTTCTATTTTTCTTATTCCTTTTCCCTTTTTCATGAATTATTATGAGTTAGATGTTAGACCTCTTTGACTGATCATGATTTGCCTTCATTCATTTGGACTATGTCTTAAAATCCCAATTTATCCTGAAATTAAACCCTAATGATCCCAGTGCAGCAAAACCTATGACCAATTAAAATTATTCATCATCAGAATTTCATTATATTTTTTCCTTTAAATCCCATTGATTATACTTAGACTACATTATTTGAAATTCCCTGAAGTTGATTTCAGGTTTGTGTAAGATTTATACTATTTCAATCAATGATTAAAAAAAATTCCCCAGCTATGTAAACCTTGATTAATTTTTTGTACTTAACCCTTTCCTCCAGATTAGAGATCCCGATTTCTGTTTTTGTCAATTGTCATAAGAACTAATGTTGAGCATACTAAGGTGATGTCTATTGAACCTAGTCATTAACTTTGACACTGTAATTCCAGTGGAAATTCACATGATAAAATGAGATAATGTATATAAAACACCTTTTGAAACTTTTAAGTGCAACATAGATATAACTTATTTTTGTTATTATTATGCTTCATTTACTTGTAGGACAATTGTTAGCACAAGACTCGCCATTAAAGAAAAGGAAAAGGAGATTAGAAGCTTTAGATAGAGCCTGTTTCTTCTGAATCATTCTGTCTCTTTTTCAGTGGCCCTTCCCAGATAGTTTTAGCAACAACATCAATTCTACTTTTGCCCCACACAACATACTTCTGAAAGCATTAGTAGTGAGGTCCAGTAAAGGAGAGAAAGGCAAAGTACCATTGTACAGGTGGTAGCTGGAGATAAGAATGGAGGCATTGGGCCTTTTCCTTTCTTGGCAGTCTCACAAATTTCTCGATTTGGTTTCAGGTAAACTGAAAGCTTGAAATGTGCTTATTGCATTTTTCTAACTGAAAGTGAAAATTGTTCATCCTCTATGATATTTTCAATGACCATATATATCCAACACTACTTAATTGGTCAGCTCTAAATGTTTCCTTAAATGTAATTTGATGCAGAGAATAGCTTCATAGAATGACATAAACAATAAGTGGATTTTCAGGGCCTATTATTGAAGCTACCAAGTAGTTAGAAAAACAAATTACCATGTAACATGCAGCTTTTAGATCTTATGATATAGGCTCTAGTTTAGAAGACAGAAATAACAAGATAGTTACTCTGTGATTACATGGTACAGTAGCTTCCATATACTTACATGGTCAGTAGTTACAATTTAATTGCAGAGCTAGTGCATCGTTATTTATGCTCTGAAAAATAAAGTGATCCTGCTTTTCTATACACCGAAAATAAAAAGCTTCTAAAAATAGTGTTGGGTTTTAAATGTTTTGACATCTGGAGTATCTGACATGATTTTTATTTCTCACTTACTTCCCCCTTTCCTTCTCCTATTATTCCAACTGATTTGTAAAACAGAAGTAGTAAAATATTCTAGTAGGGTTGACTTGAAAGGAGATAGCATCCTCATGACTGGAGGCATGATAATGATCTCAGGGAATAGACTGCCATATAGAGAGAATAGAGATGGGACAATAAATTAATTTATGATATCTGAAACAATATGTTCCCAAGGTTTTGTGATATCAATTGTACCCCAACTGTATTACTTCCATAAAACAGTTTTCCCCAAAAAACTGTCAGGGTGTGAAAATCTAAAGGTTTGGTATCTCACTGATTAAGTGCTGGTTGTATTCAGAGTACATTTTAAAAATCAAGCTTTTACCATGGTTCACATCTGCCACAAATTTGGGGAACTTATGTTTTCCAATAGTCAAAGAATAACAAATTGTCTGTTCAAAGATAATACTGAGTGGCTTATGTAATAAAGCCCAGCTGCTTGTTTCCTGATATATAATCTAAATAAAAGCTCACATCTGCTCACATTATACTGAGTCTGCAAAAATAACAGATGTTTACCAGTAGAATAGTTTTGAAATTACAACAAATAAAGAAACAGGTCAGAAAAAATGAATGCATCGTATTTTGTCTTTAATGAAAACACTGTTGCTTCTGCTATAACAGTACACATTTTGAAAAGCCTTGTTAGAAAGATTGCCAGTTTAGGATCATTTGAAGTAAAAAGAAAGTATTTTATACAAGTATAAGCAATAAGAGTATGGTGGATCATAAAAAACAAACACTTGATTCCTCTTCTTTTTCAAATGAAGTTCAGCTGTGAGGAGGTCATAAGGCACATTTATGTCCATTGGAACATAGTGATTACTTATGCATATTTACATTTACATATATGTATAAATATCATATCTATATCATGTGATATCAATTCAATTTATACACACTAAAATAAGAAATATAAAACATAAGGGGCTATTTTATGGTACAAATCTCAATAACGTTGATTTTTCTATATTTTTGAGGACTTAAAAGATCACAAGAGTCAAGGTGTTGTAAGCATACATGATTTGCTTAAGGAATGGTGATATAAACATAGTCAAATTGCCACTAAATTCTACTTTATGGCAATGTCACACCCTCTCATCCCCAGTAACACAGCTCCCTTTCAAATATGAGACAATAAAATGCAAAACTTTTTTCATTCAGGTTGTTTAAATTTTTTATTAAAAACTTAACATTGAACATATAATTAAATTTGCTTAGTAACTATTTACATTTAAATTAATTTCACTACATAAAGTATCATGACCTTCTTAGTTATTGCTTCAGAGTTCCCATCAGAATTCTCTGTCCATTCATTCTCATGTACTTCTCCTCATGTGATTACAGTTAGTATTTTCTTCATTCTTCTAGTCCTGCTATTTTTTCTTTCCATTTTTTCCAGGTTTTTTTTGTATTTAGTTTGTACTTTTAAAAATAAGCTGATTTATCATTGGACACAACAGAAAATAGGAGGCACTGTCATGGGCCTACTTCAGCCTAATTTTATAAGCTTATGCCTTTACCCAGTTATAGATCTAATTTAGTCATTTAGTGAAGTAGAGATTTGAAGTTCTGGCTCTAGTTTGAACTTCTCTTGGAGTGAAACTGGTGGCAAAGATGCTTCCTGTAGGAATAATAATGTATCTTTGTCTCCAAAATTCACAAGATCAATATAAACCATTATCACTGAATACAAATGATTTTAGTAATCAAAAGTTAATATGCATAAAGTGACTTATTAAATGTGTCTACTTTATGGGACTATAAACTTTGAGGGTAACAGATGCCTCTTTGAGGAGTCACAATTCAGAGTTACAAGTCATGATGGAAAGACACATTTTAATCTAAGGAAGGAAAATGTAATGTCATTATTTTGATGGTATTTTTACATGTATAGAATCGAAATGATATAGAAACATTATATTCCATATTATTTATGTTATTACATAATATGGAAATATATCAAATAATCTTGTGATCATGTTTTACAAAAAGGTCAGTTTATTATATGAGGCTGTTAACTAATAAATGATTTAAAGCTGTTTGGAGCCATATTCTTATTTCCCTCTTTTTCCCATTTGTCATCACTACTTGCAGAGTTCCCCTTGCAGTCAAGGCAGGCTTTGTGCAGAGAAGAGATTTACAGAGGTGGGAGAGAAGAATGAGAATTTGGCTGCTAACTATATAAAGTATTATTAAAATGCTAAGTAATAAAAATAAAACATTTGCCTAAAGGTCTTATAAATTATATGATTTTGGTGTCTTTTCCTGGTATTATTAAAATGTCATAGGTGAAATAGCTTAATGTAATCTTCAAAAGTTTCTCAACCCCCTTGGTTACTTTCATGGCTGTAAGAATGTAGTTGCAAGATTATTTTTACTCTTCCCCTTTCATCATAATTGGGCAATTTGAAACATTCATAAAATTCTGTCAGTAATGATAACAGTTGTAGAGAAATATACATATTTAAGTAATTTAAATAATTTGAATCATGTTTTTAGAAGATATAGCCACTATCTTAAGCTAGCATGACTAGTATAGCAACTACAAAGCAGATAGTTTTAAAGTAAATTTTAAACAATAGGTCAGGAGTAGGTTAATTAAGGGTATGGTGGGTTAAATGCTTGTGGTTTGACTTTGTGGTAGAATAGTTGGTTTTATAATTGAAAAAGAACATGTGTTTCTTTGTCAATAAAGATGTTTTACATCTTGTCAAGAATCTTTCTTGGTCTTCTAGTGTCTCAAACTCTTCAGCTATTTCCTTTCAGCCTGAACTAATAAGATTCACAGGAACCAAGTTGACATTTTGGAAGATGTGATTCTATTGTTTAATGTGTGGTGGTTTTGCCAGGGGGAAAGATGCTCATTCTCTATCCAGATGTGGCATTATTTCTGCTGTGCTCTCCATCATGATCTGTGGGCTGTTCTACCCCCCAAGTTAGCCCAAGAGATTCTCGTAGACGTGGTGGAGAAATCTTTGGATCTGCTGGCTTCCAGATATTCTCAGGCCCATCCCAGTTATAAGAGAACTCCACAGATAAGGTAATTGAAATGTGATTTCTAGGTACTTTGTTTTAAATATATGGTTTTCCTTAATTTTATGTTAGTCATAATTTAATTCTGACTCATCTAACAAAAACCCTGTTCCTATTTAAAATGTTTATGACTCTTTAAAGGGTAACAGGTAAATCTCCTCAGATAGTTAAAGGGAACTGTGAAACGTTCCTAAAAACTTTGTTTCAAGAACTTTATAATACAGTTGTACAATTAAAGTGAGGAGATTCCTTTTTAAATAATGCTGATCCTTAGCTTATTCAAAGCTCGTACCTCCTTTCCCTTCATCTACTGTCCCTTTCTATCCTTTCTTATTTCTTTCTGTAATGTCTTTGTTCTTATTTTGTATTAATAAGGACTACTTCAACACAATGTAATTTCAGAAAGATTAGGGGCAACAGTAATTATGTACTAAATCAAGGACATTAACTTTGAGGTGAATTAGCAGTAAGTAGTGAGTTTTGTAATTTAACTTCATATATTAACTGGTGTCTTACAGAAACACTATTATATAAAGTGATCCTGTTTTTAAAATGTTCTTTTTTCATATAATTAGTACATCTCTTTTACATATATACAATTTCAGATATCTTTTGGGATACCCGTATTCTTCTACACATATTAAGGAGCATTTTTTCCAGTCAGGAAGAATCATTTCTTGATCACTTTCTTCTAAAGTATCCTATGATTTTCAGGGTGTCTGGGCCTAGTGTCAGTGTTTCATTAATACAGTATTTTCGACAAGCTGTTTTAAATTACTGAATAAGATAAAAAATATTGTCTGCTGTAGAACAAAATGAAAAACTTCATTTGAAAGCACAAAATATTTTCTTTCATTAAGATGACTTAGTAATAAATCACTTTTGATTATAAGATTTGTAGTCATTAATTCATAGCATACTCAATAAGAGTACATTCACATGAAGTATGAAATGTATTTAATTGCTTAACTATACTATTCAAATGATTGCTTTCTGCTGGTAGTAGAAACATTGTATTCAAAGCCAGAAACTTTCCTTCTCTACACTGGATTTTGTAATTTAATCTAATATTTTGTATTTTAAAAGTTACCTCGAGCCTCCGTTAGTGGATGGGACACTTTCCTTAGACATCTGTCTAATACAATTCAAATGTGATGTTAGTACCTATTATATGTAAGGTGCTAATCTAAAATTAATGCTTTCTAGTGGATAATTTAAATTATGTATTACCTTATACTAATTTATTTAGTAAAACCTATATACAAACTACGTTTGACTCTACTCAAGGATAGTTAGTTTTGATGGTCTTCATATAGTCTGTATGCCCTGTTTGACTTTTTGTAAATACTTATCCAGTCACATAATGGCCAAAAATATTTAGATATTTAGCAGAAATGTTTTAATTAAGTTGAAGCCAAAAGGCAAGATTTCCCAGAATACCTGGACTGACCAAATAGTTCTTTAGTTTAGTTTAGTTCTTTTCTCTCTTCTACCCTCTCATTTCTACTTCGTCTTCCATCTTTTACTTCTTTAACTCTGTCTATATAAAATTAAGAAACAGTAAATTCAAGTTAAATGGGGTACACAAGATTCATTTACATACAAAAATAGTTTTAAATAGAATACATTGAGGTAATGCTACATTTGTGGATCTTTAGCTAAAATCAAAAAGAGGAAGACAAAGAAATGGTAGAAATCAGTAAATTCTCTAAATATGTTGTTGCATATTTCATTGTTTTGTAACCAATACAATTAGAATCAGAAAATTCTCAAAGTTCATTTCTCCAGCTGTTGTAAAGGTATCACATCCCTTCTGCTTATCTCCTGCTTGTCATGCTGGCTCCGTACTAGGTCATATATCTTTTTTTTCTCTGTATCTTGACACTGGGTAAGGTCATCTTTTAACATCTGTTCACATGTTTTCTGGTAGCAAAAGCAAATTTTGGCTACCTGTGTCTCTCAACTCAATCTCATACGACTTTCTTTTCTTTTCTTTTCTTTTTTTAAAGCATATCTCGTTTTCTTCACTGATAATGCAAGCTGAGCATGCCACACTTCTGAAATGTTTTCCATTTCTAGGCCTTACTTTTGCTAACAAGAATGTTGTTACTGCCCCACATAAGGGGCAAGAAACTTTAGTTGCATCGTTTAATCTTTTTTCCCCATTTATTATTGATAGATCATGCTAAATCTTCTATACACAGGCATTTTTTTTCTCATTCCACATGTGGGTGACATTGTAAATATCAAGGCCAAAATGTCGCCGTTTAATATAATTGTCTCTTTACTTTCTGTAGATTTGATGTTACTGCAATCTTAATATGCATTGAGGAAATACTCTGGTCAATTTGTAGATCAGTGCAAGAACTTTTGAATCCTTGTGAATGTATAAATGAAAAGATCTTGAAAATTCACACCCACTGCAACACTCTGTTTACAACAATGATCATTTTGACATCACCATTAACAGAATTATATAAGTAAGTATGATACTTATTATTTTTGGATTGCATGATTCATATAAGTAATTGTTCTCCATAGGATTACAGATTTAAGGTTGGATACAGCTAGACAGCCATGAAGTCCAGCTGTTTCATTTTAGAGATGAGGAAATGTCTGAGGTGAGATTTTAACCTGTCTTCCTGAGTCAGTGTCCAGTGTCTTCTCCACTGTAATGTAGTTTTCATTTTTATCATAAAGAAACGAAAAGAGCACAGGACTACGAATTAGAAGACTTAATTTCTAGTTCCAGATCCATTAATAATTTGCCATATGACCTTAGATAATCGCTTAACTTCATATTTCTCATCCATAATATGACGATAATATGTGCCTCACAGAGTTATCATGAGGACCAAATAAAATCTAATGTGGGAAAAGCATTTTGAAAACTAAAAATCACTACACAGATGTGAAATGTAATCATTGCCTCAATTATGAAAATATGTGACATATTTTCATTAGAGTCCTATAGGTATGTCTCTTGGTAGCATGAAGGTGATTTCAGGTTCATGAGAATTTTGAAGAAAAAAAATTGTGAACTACTATGGGATTCTGATTATTTTGATTAATTTTAATATGTTCCAGAAGGTAGCTATAGATGTTGTAAATTAAAGTACTGGGCTCCTGGTGCAGTTGGGTATCTCCTTACTATGGTAGAACTTTATTTAACATAGAAAAATTCAAAACAAAATTTGAGTTAAACTCCAACCCTTACCTCCATGCCTACTCCATTCCCCATCAACCAAATAGTAACTTCATCTAACTGTGTATTTAATTTATAAATTATTAAGAAATTCTCATAGCATTGCCATTACTTTGGATTAATCAGGCCTACTAATATGTCTTTCTTTAAGGCACTGGGTAGGATAAAGTAAAAATATTTATTTTCAGAGAATCTTCAATTCAACACCTTTTTTGTATTAGAAATTCCAAAAGTAATTAACAATCTTTATTTCAATTTCCCTATAATTTTCACCCACTCCTGGGCTTTTAACAAATTGGCTGAATACAGATTGTTGTCTCTGACAGCCTTAGGTTGAAGACTAATTTAAGAAGTGGAAAACTCAGAAAGGGGCAAGAGATAGTAAAATAAATTTCCATGAGCTTTAGATTTTATAATTTCATAATCATGAAAATCCCAGGGTTTGAAACCTATAATGTATCTTTGTAAACTAAACTGAATTACCAGAGATGAAAAAAATTTCCCTGCTAACTGTCCAGTGGGTCATTTGGTCTAAGAGTAAGGCTATGTGAAAATCAGGAACAAAGTTGGCAGATTTCATGGATTGGTCATGGTGAGCAATACTGAATTTCATGGTTTGTCACAGATTAATAGGAAAATATTAAAACAACAATTCATCTGTATAACAAATAAGTGATTATCAAAGATTGTATATTTTATTAAGAATAAAGAGTATATTCATTATTAACTTGTGATCTTTTAACATTTGTTCCTTTACAGTAGAATAAATATCTGTCATTTCTGCATTGTGCTACAGAGTCATTCAACAAATTTAAATTGCTAATTTCTGCCAAGAATATTATACATTTTACATAATGAATTGTTAGTGATTTTACTTGATATTAAGTACACATTGAGTACTTTGTAGCATGAAAATCCACAGCTAAGTATGTAGGGACAAATTTTTGCATTAAGTTAGTCTAAGAAAGGCCAAATGAAATGTTTGATTTGAGTTTAAAAAAATGCTAAGATGATGGCAAAGTCAAGCCCCAAATGGAATAAAATTCTGGAAATGCTATGAATGTGTGTGTGTATGTATATGTATGTGTATATATACATATACGTGCATAAACCTATATATCTATAAATAATTCTTTGTCGAAACAGTTGTTACATTATTTCAAAGCTTCTAAGTGAGTCTACATAAATTTCAAATCAAATTCATAGGTATTTTCCTGTAGCATAAATTACTACTTTTGAAGTATCTTACATTTCTCATTGGTGAATGATCATTTTAAAGTTTCTGGTTCTCTCCAGATACTGTGGAGAAAATACTAATGGTCTTATGCCCCAAATGAAACTAAACCTTGTGCAAAGCTAGATAGAACACAAGAGTACACTTTTTTGTGTTTTATGTCTTCAGGATCAGAATGTAAGGTCTTTTAATTACTCGTATTTTAGCAAGGGGTGTATCAAGTTATATGCATTCAGATTAAGCATCCAGATACTGATTTGATTAAATTTTAGCAAATGCTTCTGAAAATGTCTCATGATAGCATGCTTGCCATAAGCCTTTTTTATTTTATTTTGAAATTCACTGATTTTTTTTTTGTTTTGACACAATAGCTTCTTTCCAAGAAACAGCTAAACAAGCATCTCCATAAAGTACATTTGCTAAAAACAGTGTACCAATTGCTAATGGAAAAGAAAGCGGTGTCCATTAAAACCATAAGCATTTATAGAAGGTGTCTGACTTTATTCTGTATAGTTGTGACAATTAAACTCAACACATTTTCCATTTTGAGTATAGAATAGGCCACTAACTGAGTCTCTCAGAAAAAAAGAATAAGTAATTTTGAAAGCTTTTCATAATAGGATAAAGCCCACTTACAAATAGGTGTCCCTTTTTTAAAAAAAAAGCTCTGTGTCTGTGTGGTATATAGCTTTTGTTAGGATATTGTAAAAGAAATACTATAGTCTAGTGCTCCAGGGACCTAGGAAGATCTGCTGAGACAAAATGTGTGTTTAAGTGTGTTTTCCAAATGCTTGTGATTTAAATCAGTATAGTAAACAAGGCAGAAAATCAGTCTCAGAACTTGTACTGTACTTTGTACGCACAAAAACACTTAGTCTAGTTTGGTATTCAGCAAGTAAAAAATTAAATTTAATAAATAATTTTTCTTGGTACATTTTAATTTTTATGTTACTTTCATTTCTGATTATATCCTTCTCTTCCCTCTTCCCCAGTGAGCTTATAACAAAGAAAAAAAAAGGAGAAAAGAAGCAAAACTAATGTGTCAGTTGAGTCTGATAGTTTATGTAATTCTTGGCTCTTTTTCAGAGACAAGCTTGATCATTATAATTACGCAGAGTTCACTTTCTTTTCTTTTCTTTTCTTTTGGTCTTTTCCTAATCAACATTTATTTCCTGGTTCTTCTTACTTCACTGTATCAGCTAATATGTCTTCCCATGCTTTTCTGAATTCTTCATATTTGTTATTTCTTATGATGAATAAACAATTCCATCACATTATACACTACTATTTCAGTCATTTCCTAGGGGATAGGCATCTACTTTGTTTTTACTTCTTTGCTGCCATAAAAAATGCTGCTATCCATATGTTCGTGTTTTTGGGACCTTCATTCTATCTTCAGCCTCCTTGGAATTTTAGCCTGGTAGTCAGATCTCCTGGGCAAAAAGGTGTGAACATTTTAGTCACTTTTCTAGCATGATTCTAATTTTTTTCAAGAACTACTTAACCAATTTATATGTCTATCAACAGTGTATTAGTGTGTCTGTATTTCTGCAGCTACTCCAACACTGATCATTGTAATCTTTTGTTATCTTTGCCAACCTTGGAAGTATGAGGTGAAACCCTGGAATTGTTTTGACTTGCATCCCTCTTATCAATAGTTATTTGAAACAATGTCTCATATAATTGTTCAAAGTTTGTATTTCTTCTTTTGAAAATGGTTTATTAAAAATCTTTGATCCCTTATCAATGGGAGAATTGCCCTTTTAAGCTATAGATTTTCAGGGGATTAGTTGTAGAAACTTAACAGGGTACTCTTAAGAGAAAAATGCAAAGTTATATACTTATAAATAGTATTGAAATTTTTTCATGTGTCATTTCATGTGAATGTCCAAGTGTTACAACACAAAATAATATGAAAGAATGTCATTTCAACACTTTTAGAATGCTAGAAAGTGGTGAGCCAAAATCTAGAATATTGGGCACTTGGCCCAAAGATAGATGTGCCTTCTAATATGTCAGTCATGTATCTAACAGACAAATTATAAAATGACAATTGTGATCCCAAAGTTATGGCTCCAGAAGGCAGTGCAAAAGCCTTATAACCCTTCAAATAGCCTATATTACTGTTTTTGTTTCCTTGACAGAACACAACACCTAGTGTAATCTCTGGGTTTCACTCTTTTAAGTCTCTGAAAAATGTCACTTCTGATATGAATTACAAAAAAGTCAAATTTTCTCTGACTTTTCTACCTAGCAATAACTCAATTCCCCCTTCTTCATACTTTCCTCCATTCCTTTTCTTCTACTTATGTAATTTATGGGAAAATTCCTCAAGAAAAAAAGTGAGTGCATGGTCTTATTTTCTACATCTTAACACAGTAATAATCATAATAAAATATAATTCATTCAACAAAGATTTGTAAATGACCTATTCAAGCTAGGGACTTCATATATTCAATATCTTATCTCTGTAAGATGGACCAGCAGGTTTGCCTCAGGGCTGGAATAGGCCCTAGCACAGGTAGGGTCAACTTTGGTAATATGCTTCCATCTACCATGTTTTTTTTCCATTGTCTGTTTGGCCTCATGCAATTATGGTTCATCTGATAGAATTCATTTCATGAATTGTAGGCATATTTGTCATTCAGTTGTTTCTGTCATGTCTAACTATCTGTGACCCCATTTGGGGTTTTCTTGGCAGAGATACTAGAGTGATTTGCCATTTCCTTCTCCAGCCCATTTTACAGATGAGGAAATAGAGGCAAACAGGGTTAAGTGAGGGTCATAGAGCTACTAAGAGTCTGAGGCCAGATTTGAACTCAGGGAGATGAGTCTTCCTGACTCTAGGGCCATTACTCTATCCACTGCACCACCTAGGTGCCCTTGAAGCCATATAGCATCAAAACTTTGCTAATTATCCTTTTTTAGTATTCATTTAAAGTTCACAAATTGGTATACTTTGCCTACTCAACTCTTTGTCTTAATCTTGGAAATATGCATTGTTAATCTATTTGGTTGTTCCAGGGTGTACATGTAGGCCA